TCTATTCAGACCAGTCAAACTTTGTATCAACAATAAGGCTGTTTCACTCTCTTATCTTTCATGTATTCACTAGAGTAACACTTTTAATTTTCTTTAAGAATGTTTCTTTTGTAGTTACTACTTGGCTGTTTGGTGCCAGGGGCCTTGCTCTCAGCCTGTCTTTTCACTTGCCTTTTTTACTAAGGTTAATCATTTTAAGCTTTAGATTTAGAGTGAGAAATGTGTGAGGACTCGTTCACTTGAACATTTAAAGGTCATTGTTGGGTTATTAATTGGCCTAATTTCATTATTGTTGTGTGTCAGGGAATAGGAAATCTAGAAGAGAGGGAGAGAGACTGGAAAATGGCAGGGTGGTAGAGCAGTCATAACACACACAATATTTTCCAATTAAGTTCCCCTTTTATATTGGCACAGTTTATGGCGCCCCAAAATAATTATAATAGTAACATCAAAGATCACTAATCACAGATCATCATAACAGATACAATGATAACGAAAAATTTTGAAATATAGCAAGAACTACCAAAATGAGACAGAGACACCAAGTGAGCACACGTTGTTGGAAAAATGACACCAATAGCCTTGCTAGATGCAGGGTTGCCACAAACATTAAATTTGTAAAAATTAAATGCAAGATTTGCGAAGTGCAATAAAGTGACATGCAATACCATGAGGTATCCCTGTGTTGTATTACTTAGGGAATAATGACACAGAAAAAATTCTATGTATGTCCCGTACAGATGAATTAAAAATATTTTTTTTTTCAATTTTGAATTCACAGATGCAGAACTCGCGGATATGGAAGACCAGTTGTATTCATCCTCCAATTGGTCAGGATGGAAAGTTCTTTCACTAACTTAGACTATGATTAATTCCAAAATGTATATGAATTTTAACTTATAATTATTGTGCAATAATTCTTTTTCTGAAAGTATTTTCTTCTTTATTTTCTGAATTTACCTTTTAATAATTTCTTTTTGTTTCTTTTTTTTTCTCTTGAGACAGTGTCTCACTCTGTCGCCCAGGCTGGAGTGCAGTGGTGCAATCTCAGCTCACTGCAACCTCTGTCTCCCGGGTTCTGTGGCCCAGACTGGAGTGCAGTGGCATGATCTCGGCTCACTGCAACCTCCATCTCCCAGGTACAAGCAATTCTCCTGTCTCAGCCTCCCGAGTAGCTGGGACTACAGGCCCCTGCCACCACGCCCTGTTAATTTTTGTATTTTTTAGTAGAGACGGGGTTTCACCATATCAGTCAGGCTGGTCTGGAACGCCTGACCTCAGCTGATCCACCCATCTCAGCCTCCCATAGTGCTGGGATTACAGGCGTGAGCTACTGCGTCCAGCCCTAGTTTTTGTATTTTTAGCAGAGATGGATTTCATCACGTTGGCCAGGCTGGTCTTGAACTCCTGACTTATGTGATCCACCCACCTCAACCTCTCAAAGTGCCTGGATTACAGGCATGAGCCACCATACCTGGCCAATAATTTTTTTTTTCATTTAAAATACTTCAAGCCTACAGAAAAGCTCTAAAAATAACACAGTGAACCCCTGTGTATAGTTGACCTAGACTTACCAGTGATTAACCTATTGCTATACTGCATTTGGTAGTTGTATCTTTTTAATCTTCATTAATGTAGGATACTTTCCCTGCCACTTTCTCCCCACACACATTTTAAAAATACGACAATGGGCCGGGCGCGGTGGCTCACGCCTGTAATCCCAGCACTTTGGGAGGCCGAGGCAGGTGGATCACGAGGTCAAGAGATCGAGACCATCCTGGTCAACATGGTGAAACCCC